CCTCTTCCTCTCCCTGACGAGGACGTATCAATGGGCGAACGAGGGCAGGTTGCAACAGCCATCTCGGGCTGTTTGGCCACCGAATTGCAAGAAGAAAACGGCTGCATTTCTCCTCCTCTCATTCCCCAAAAGCGCCGTTCCGCCTCGGTCTTTTCTGCGTTCCGACGGGTCAATAGCAACAATAACAGCAACAAGTGATAAGGGTAATTACAGTGATACGACAATACGAATCAGAATTAGAAAAGTAAAAGTTTAAAGGAAGGTATATAATCGTTAAAAAACGTCTTTGATACTTGATGGTCATGGCAACAATAGTAATCATATAATCAACAGTGACTGTTTACAAAAATGAAGTGAAATTCCCTCCATTGGTAATAATTACTTCCTTGCGAGCTAATAAAGATCTAAGAACACGACGCCATTTAAAAGCCGTTTCTCAAACAACCGTCACATTTGACAAGGCGCCGCAGCGTGTGTACAAATAACACAGAACGATCTATTTACGGTGGAGAACACGCCTCCGCCGAAGGTTATTAAAACCCCGCAGATCACCTTCTCCGGAACACGATTGTTTTGACCAGCAGCGCCATCGCCCCACTTCTCCTTGCTCTTCCCTGCCATCACGCCCTTCCCTTGGCCATTCCGCCCGCCCGTCTCTCTCCTTGCCCATTGCGCCCCCCGCCCTTCTTCTCTCCCTTGCCCACTACGCCCACGCCCGTCCTCTCTCCCTTGCCCATTGCGCCCCACGCCCGTCTTTCACTCCTGTGCCAACTGCACCTCACGCCCGGCCTTTTCTCTCCACCGTTCGTCTCGCGGTGGGCGGGACTACGAATGCTAGGGCATTGTGTCTTTTATCTCTTGCTTGCGTCTCTTTAAAAGATACCGAGTTATTTTACCCTGTTTCGACTGTTTGTTTACATTCGGAGGAATATTTGCAATAGGGTTCTGCTTTACAAACGCACGAATATTTACCTTGAAGACGCCCAGGCACTGCCAATTATAATAATGTATGCACCCGGTTTTTAAGATTGTTTTCTGGTCTCGCGTCATTTTCCCCGATTCGTTCTACCAGTCTGCTCGTCAGAATTATGTCTGACATGTATATTTTGACAATTGGTATATCTGATTCTCAAGGAGCAGCCAAGCTAACGGGCTCACGAAGCTGAAGTATAAAATCCACACTTTGGCAATTTGCGACGGAGATTTATGCACGCATTCCCAGTCGCAAGGGCGGATTTTGCACAAGACATTTCGTCAACAAAACCCCGAGTAATAAATCTTCTTCACGTCATACAATTTAATCAATAGAGTAACTCTCTCAGCCCGAAACCGAGGTGGAAGCAGGTGAGATGAGCCGCAGTCACGCCTGAAACGACACACGTAGGCAGAATCCCCCCCTTTCCCCTCCCCCTCCCTTCCTCCTCCCTCGCACCCCAGAACCCAACACGTCAGCGTGGCGAGTCTTTAGGCCTAGTTGAGTGTCGGGGGAGTGGGGAGGGGGGGGGGGGGGGAGTGAGTCTACGCAGTCGACTCCTTTCGGCCTCACCCCCCCCCCTTGAGGACGCACCGGCACTCGCGAAGGGCGCTGGCGGCGAGCTCGATCTAGAGGGAGTGACTCTCGCCGATGCTACTCCTACAGGTACTCCTACTACTGCTGCCACTGCTACTTTCAGCCACCGCCACTTAAAAAAAAAAAAATGTCCACGATTCGACTAGTCATGCCTCCATTTTTTTTTTTCATTTTTTCTTTTTTTTTCTTGGATAACATTGAACCAATCTATTTATTTTGTAACAAATATTGGTGTAGGCTCTTGTAGAATGTGCAGTGAATGTTGTAAAATAAACTTTGCCATAGGAGTTGTAAAAATAAAAATCATAAAAAAATATCCATCTCTTTATGCAAGACACGTGTTTTACGAAAGATAAAGAGAGTTTTAGGGTCGATATCGCACGCGGAACAACATTATAAAACCATGCTGTTCTCTCGCCGATGGAGAACGGGCGAGAACAAAAAACAATCATGACTGCCGAACGTTTTTTTTCTTTCTCTCTCTGTTCAATGACCCCGGTGTGATGGCAGCGAGATGAACGACGACCCCAGGGGAAAGGCGCGACAACCACGACTCGGGGGAACGTGGCGGACAGCAACCCCAGGGGAGACTGCACGGCGAACGGCTCACGGATGGACAACGACCCCGGGGGAACTCGCACTGAACAACGGCTCGAGGCTGAACAGTACGACGAACGGCCCCGCGGGAAACGGCGCGATGAACAACGACCCCGGGGGAATCGGCAGAGCCAGCGGGGCCGGCGGCGAATGGCGCGCCCGACGCCTCGGCGGCGCTGGCGTAATGAGCGAGAGATCACGGCGTTCGACGCGGCGGACGAGTCGAAGCAAGGCGAACAAATAACCAAGGGCGGGGTAACTCAGTGACCCCTGGTGGGTGGGCGGGCGTGGGAGACGGGCGGACGGGCGGGCGGGTGGGTATTATGCCTGGACATCAGGGCTTTTACGGATGTTCCTCTGTGGTGGGGAGGCGACGTCCCCCCCTCCTCCTGCCTTTCAGGTGAGGTGCGGTGGGTGGCGGGGGCGAATTGCTACTCTGCGCGCCAATTTATGGTGTTGGGGTTGAAGGTTAGGTTGTATGAACCGGGCTCCGAGGTGGTCCCTCCCCCCCTCCCTCCCCTCCTCCCTACCTGGGCCTCTACCGGTCGCGCCCCTCCTCCTCCCCCTGCCCCTCCCTAACCTTCTGACTTCCAGCCTCCCGAGAGCCTGCCACTGACACCTCCGAGCGCCATTTAACACCCGTATGCTCATCTCTCCATCAAAATTTCCACAGGTAGGCCATATTAAGATATTCGCTTAATTAAGCCGCCACGAATGCGCGGCTGATCTACATCCAGGTGATCTGTATGCGAAGCGCGCACCGAGCAAGGCCAACAAGGTGCGCGCTGTTGCCACGCTCCCGCCATAGTCGCGCCATGTTGCCACGTCTCCACTCAATCACTTGTCAAACATCTCGGCGCTAAGTACAAGTACCTGTACAAAGCCCTTGCAAGCTGCTATATGTGCCCGCGCGCGCTATCTCGTGCCCACCCCGTAGACTCCTCTCGCTCACGCCCATCCAATCCCGAATCACGGAGCGGTCGCGGGTGTGCGGGTCCATTATCGACGTGGATTTATCAAGCGGAGCCGCAGGAAATCATAAATACACGCATATACCTCCCTCTCCCCGAGTTACCTTGTAGGGGTCCGCAACGCCGCCGCTCGCCCGGACGCGGACGGCCGGCTGTTATGAGACACACACACACACACACACACACACACACACACACACACACACACACACACACACACACACACACACACACACACACACACACACCGGTGTCATGCCGTCGCAGTCATCCCTTCGTCTTTATGTCCGCATCTCCTGCTTATACTTGCTTATCTCCGTCTTCGCTTATCTACTGATCTCCGTCTCCGTTTACCTGCTTATTTCCCTCTTCTTCTAACTCATTATCTCCGTTTTCGTCAAACTAATTATCTCCCTCTTTCTACCTGCTTATCTCCGTCTACATCGACCTACATATCTCCCTCTTCCTCTA